AATATTAAAAAAAAAAAGGATTAGTGGTGTTGGAAAGAGCCACAGAGAGAAGCCTTTCAGAGACTGAAAGCTGAACTGATCTCCCCACGGGTGTTAGCTCCATACTCACCCACAGCAGAAACTTGTGTATCAGCGGATGCATCATCTTTCGGCCTTGGAGGTGTGGTGACTCAAAAACAGACAGATGGAACGTGGAAACCTGTTGTGTTCATCTCTAGAGGCCTGTCAGATGCAGAGAAAAACTATGCACAAATACAGAAGGAGGCTTTGGCAGCTACCTGGGCGTGTGAGCACCTGTCATCCTACTTTCTTGGACTAAGATTCAGGCTAGAGCCTGATCACAAGCCACTGGTGCCACTCTTAAGCACCAAAGCACTGGATGAGCTCCCATCCAGAGTTCTGAGATTCTGATTGAGACTGCTGAGATTCACATTCGACATTGTACATGTGCTGGGTAAGCAGCTGAAAACAGCAGACACTCTATCAAGAGCTCCAGTGAAACACAAGTTTACACAAGAAGAAAAAGAGAATGAGGCAGAGGTCAAAGTGTTTGTGGATGCAATTGTTCAAAGCCTTCCTGCCACAGAAGCCAGACTGAAGGTGATACAAGAGAAACAGAAAGCTGATCTTGTTTGTAAAAAAACTCACCGGATATTGTGAGACAGGGTGGCCAGAGAAACATGACCTCACTGCAGAGCTAGGGGCATACTGGCCTGAAAGAGAGAATCTCACCTTGGCTGGAGGACTGTTGCTCAGAGGCAAGACGATTGTGATTCCCCACTGCATGAGGCAAGAGATTCTCAAGAATCTACACAATGGTCATCAGGGTATTGTTAAGTGTAGAGCTAGGGCCCGCCAGTCAGTTTGGTGGCCTGGACTTTCAGAACATATCAGACAACCGGTGGAAAAGTGTGTAACATGCTCACAGCACAGGGCAGAGCACAGAGAGCCCCTACTGACTGTTGTGGAAAATCTGCTGATCAATGGTCACCTCATCAATGAAGAAAGCGTTCAGGAGCCCTTTGATGTCTTACGCTGAAATATTTATTGATGCTTGGCCAAGGAGAAATTCAGAATTCATCCATACAACATCTGTGCATGATGTTCTCTCATTTTCTCAAGTCTGCTTTCCTGCAGTCACACTTTAAACCCCAACAGATCATTTAATCTATGGGTCTGCTAGTTCCTAAACAATCAAATGTATTTACTAGTTATGGAGACAGTATTGCCTGCTTACGCAGTCTCATATCTGTGATGTCTAAGGAGTGAAGGCTTTGACCTTCGCCAAGCTTTCGCACTTCCCAAACACAACAGCCTTTTGCACTCTGCCCCAGAGAGGACAAGAGACAGTGTCTATGAAAATTCCATAACACTGACCACACCAGTACAAGAGAGACCCTGGCAACGAGTCGGCACAGACTTGTTCTTCTGGGAGAAACAGACTTACCTTCTTGTAGTGGATTACTTTTCATGCTACATAGAGGTAGCTCATCTTAAAGTAACTTCAGCAGAGACAGTTGTGGCAACTATGAAGGATGTTTTCAGTCGCCATGGAACACCAGAGACAGTGGTGTCTGACAATGGGCCACAATACAGCGGAGCTCCCTTTAAGACCTTCGCCATGGAGTATGGGTTCAACCATGTGACCAGTAGTCCAAAATATCCGCAGGCAAATGAGGAGGCTGAACGCGCAGTGGCTACTGTGAAAGGACTGTGGAAAGGAGGAGGTGAGAAAGCAAAGGCGCTGATGACCTATTGTGCTACACCTCTAGAAAGCGGCTATGCACAGCTCCTTATAGGGAGACAGATAACCTCCTCCCGGCAACCCTTCTCCCTCGCTGGCCAAACATCAGAGAATTCAGGAAGTCTGAGAAACAGACAAAGGAGAACCAGTGTCGGCAATACAACCACAGAGTGCGACCTTCATCACAACTGCAGTGTGGCCAAAAGGTGTGGCTTCCCAGGGAAAAACAACAAGGGACTGTCTTACAACAGGCTTCAACACCAAGGTCATACATAATAGACACAGAAGATGGACAGGTCAGGAGAAATCGTACGCACATGCGCACACTTCACAACCCACTAGTTCAGAGTACAGTACCTGTGGTACATCATACATCCACAGAGTCAAGCAACACTGACACACCCAGTCACGCACCAGTTCAGGGTACCAGACACACTAAAGCCTAGTTTATGCTTCTGCATCACGTCGACGCCGCACCTACGCCGTCGACGTGACACAGTCGTTGAGCATTCGAAGTTCTGCGTCGAGGGAACGTGTTGCTCTGCAATTCACCGCCATGGCACTAGGGGTGTAGCTGTGTGTTTGTGTGGTTATAGSCGAATCCTCGCTTTTTCTTCCGTAAAGTAAACAACAGTAAACAATGGCGACCGAGGTGGAGCAGCTGTATTTGTTGTTGGAGCTCATCAATATTGAAGAACAAATGCTTATATTGCAAATGTTGAAGCGCAAGCTACAAAGAAAACGTTTGCGGAGGTGGTTTTTACAACGAGGAAGAAAGACCGGAAAAGCAACTGCCGGAACTTACGTTCTGAGCGGACCAATCACAGCGCTTACGGTCCACGTCGACGCGACGCGTAGTTAGGATTTTTGGGAGGCGCACGTCAGGCTACGGCGTAGGGGTCTGCATCTACGGAGTAGCTACGCCGTAGCTACGGCGTCGACGTGACGCAGAAGCATAAACTAGGCTTAACAGTCAGATACATACTGAGAGCACTAACACATCATATGTGACTTCATCAGGAAGAGTGTCACGCCCTCCAGTACGTTTGGACTTGTAAGACTCTGATTTAAGAGACAGTTCTGTTCTCAGAGAGAGAGAGAGAGAGAGATAGTATAACAAATAAAATGTGTTCTATGATAGTACTGAAAAAGATGGGTTCCATAAGAGTACTATGAGAATTGTTCATTGAACATGTTCTGATATACTTGAAAATGTTTGAGTTACCAGTAAAAGAGATATTACTAGGTTAAAGTGTGTTAAGGGAGTAGATGTCTAACTAAAAGGGGGAGGTGTCCTGCAATGGGAACTCTTCAGGGTTGTTGCTACACATGGGAGTTAGAAGGTAAAACCAGGTGTGTCATTGTTATGTGTTCGTCTGAAGTAAACTACATGTTATGGACAGTGTGCATCTTGTCATTCATCAACCATCGTCATTAACGAACGCAACAGGGACGATAACTAATTTTGCTGGACGATATATTGTCCCACAAATTATTGCCGATAAACGATATTATTGTCAACAAGATAATACATCATAATAATGCACACCCTTTCAAATACAATAAACGTTTATTTCTCAGTGTTTTTTTACCATTGTAATTGTAATTTCAAGAACGTTTAAATATCCTAAATAAATAAAACAAACAAAAAACAATAAACAAAAAATAACAAAAATTGCACTTGAATAAAAATCACAACCAAAAACAATAAAATTGCTGATTCAGTTTGAAGCCACTGTGGCATTTGACCTTGCAATCATCTTTTTCCCTCGCGTTGCTCCGCACGACATTCACTTACTGCACTGTGTGTGTGGAGCTATTGCTAGCGCTAGCAGCCCCGCCTCCCCCCACAGAGACAAAGAGRCTGGATGAATGACAAGAGGGTTCACTCCGTTCATTATGCAACAAACGCCCCCAGGTGCTGAGACCGAGCACAGAGTGAACCCTCTTGTCATCCAGCCTGCTTGGAGGCGAGAGACGAGGAAAACAAACAGGCATGAACATGGCGATATATCGAGGCCGGCAAAATTATCGAGTTCATTTTAATTTATCGTGCGATTAATTGATTTATTGATTATCGGCCCAGGCCTAGTTGTGACACAGTGACAGAAAATGTTCAGAAATAATGAGCATCATTCTAACCTGTGCAGGGTCTTGTTGCATGCCAACAATGTTCCCAACACCTCCACCCCTGCCGATTTAAGATTATTTCCCTGTGAACAAAAATTTTACATGATGTGAATATCAACAAACGTCTCATGAAAAATCCATTAGTGTCTAAGAGAGCCATATGTTTAATTTGGCAAGTGGTACCTTCAAATCCAGGATTTTCACAGTTGTGTTGCCACACAGTCCAGTCAGGAGTACTTTTGCACCTGAGTCACACACAAAGCAGACTTATAAATATACATAAAATCTTATGTGCACAGCTGAAACCCCAATTAATGTATGTAATTTATAATAACAAGTATGTAAGAATGTGTGTCCAAAGTCCAATATACTGTATCCTACACCTCTGAGCCGCAGAGCTCCACTGTTTCCGAGACACACTTTTGCACTGGGTGACATATTCCTTGTGGCAATAGCTCCAAACAATTGTCCTCTTGTTTGAGTAAATAGTCAGTACCTATATAGCGCTTTTCCGGTCTTGTGACCACTCAAAGCACTTAACAGTTTTGCCATCCATCGATTCACACACGACTCTTAAAGTGCATTAATGTGCAGCACTTTGTCTATAGCCGTTTTCAGACATGACCTGCGGGTAAAGTACGGAGAATTGGGTCTGGGTTTATCCAGTTTGCCTTTCAAATATGCACAACCCAGTGGGAGGTTCTCTGCCAGGACACGTCCACAACAGTAACAAATCATCTGCATTATTCAGCCGAGAAGTGGCGCATCAGACAGGCATATTAATATATATAACATAACTCTGCTGCAGATATTAACTCTGACAGCACCTACACACTGTCATCAGCTCTTATCACAAAACACAAACTCTCTCTGTGCCCTCTACGTGTATGATACCTCTTTTAAATGGTAAAAATGTAATTTTTATATAGAGCTTTTCTAGTCTTGATGACTACTCAAAGCGCTTTACAGTACAGTTTTCCATTCACCCATTCACACACTTTCATTCATACAGTGCATCTATTAGCAGCACTTTTTGTTCTATGAGGGGAAATTCAGGGTCAGCATCTTGCCCAAGGTCGCCTCAGCATGGAGATGGAGAAGACTGGGGATTGAACTGCCGACCTTCTGGTTGGAGGACAACAGCTCTACCCCTCAGTCACAGCCGCCCCCACTAGGAGATATTAGTTTTATTTTTATTTTTGTGTCTGTCACGAGCTATAAGTGGCATATATCCCCACAACTGCTTGTGCCAAATCCAGCTGGGGTTCCCTCCTGGATTTCTACAGACTTTATACCAGGAGGTCAGGCGGATATAGCAGGGTTTCCTGCAGCACTTTATAGTAAAGGCGGCCGCCTTGACAACAACGGCCCCCCGCCTTGACTACGTCCCCCCGAAAATAAATAAATAAATAAATAATTCCGCATCCCCGCATGCATAGGCAGTAGGTTAAAATAAGGCCGCATCGCAATGAGGCGGAATAGCGGCATCTGTAGGTTAAATATGTTAAGCCATCTATCATCTGCTGTAACTGCGTGGCAAGGCCAACATTTCTTTTTTATCGGGAAAGAAGCTAAATCCGACAACCGGATAGCATGCCTGTCGTCGTCGTCGCGTATTTGCCTAAGGAGAAAATACGGAGGACCTGCTGAGTCTAGTGCATGTCTAAAAGCAGCTATAGATGCCTTAGGGCTTTTATATCACTGGCATTTTTAATTGGATTCAGATTTTGCAATTTGAACATACACTCACCGGCCACTTTATTAGGTACACCTTGCTAGTACTGGGTTTGACCCCTTTTAGCCTCCAGAACTGCCTTAGTTCTTCACAGCATAGATTCAACAAGGTGTTGGAAACATTCCTAAGAGAGTTTGGTCCATATTGACACGATAGCATCACGCAGTTGCTGCAGATTTGTCGGCTGCACATCCATGATGCAAATCTCCCGTTCCACCACATCCCAAAGGTGCTCTATTGGATTGAGATCTGGTGACCGTGGAGGCCATTGGAGTACAGAGAACTCATTGTCATGTTCAAAAAACGAGTTTAAGATGATGTAAGCTTTGTGACATGGTGCATTATCTTGCTGGAAGTAGCCATCAGAAGATGGGTACACTGTGGTCATAAAAGGATGGACATGGTCAGCAACAATACTCGGGTAGGCCGTGGCGTACTACCAACGATGCTCAATTGGTAGTAAGTGACCCAAAGTGTGCCAAGAAAATATCCCCCACACCATTACACCACCAGCCTGAACCGTTGATACAAGGCAGGATGGATCCATGCTTTCATATTGTTTACACCAAATTCTGACCCTACCATCTGAATGTCGCAGCTGAAATCGAGACTCATCAGAACAGGCAATGTTTTTCCAATCTTTTATTGTCCAATTTTGGTGAGCCTGTGCGAATTGTAGCCTCAGTTTCCTGTTCTTAGCTGACAGGAGTGGCACCTGGTGTGGTCTTCTGCTGCTGTAGCCTATCTGCTTCAAGGTTTAACTTCTTGTGCTTTCAGAGAAGGTATTCTGCCTACCTTGGTTGTAACACGTGGTTACTGCTGCCTTTCTATCATCTTGAACAACTCTGCCCATTCTCCTCTGACCTCTGACATCCAAAAGGCATTTGCTTCCACACAACTGCCGCTCACTGGATATTTTCTCTTTTTTGGACCATTCTCTGTAATCCCTACAGATGGTTGTGCGTGAAAATCCCAGTATTTCAGCAGTTTTTGAAATACTCAGACCAGGTCATCTGTGACGAACAACCATGCCACGTTCAATGTCACTTAAATCCCCTTTCTTCCCCATTCTAATGCTCGGTTTGAACTTCAGCAAGTCGTTGTCACCAAGTCTAGATGCCTAACTGCATTGAGTTGCTGCCATGTGATTGGCTGATTAGCTATTTGTGATAACAAGCAATTGAACAGGTGTGCCTAATAAAGTGGCCAGTGAGTGTATATGCATGGTCTTGTTTTTGACCTAACATGCAATTCTTATGAAGCAGGAAAAGTATATTAATCAATTGATTTGCAGAAAAGGTCAAAACTGTGCTCTCTTTTCATGGAGATTTCACATCCGCGTGTTGCATCAGCACTGTTGTATGTCATATTTTCTGTATTTTCAGATTGAATAAATATTCAAGTGAAACTATTGTCTTTGTTAAATACTATGTTGTTGTTTTTTTTACTGATGTCATTTTTTGCATTCCTTTATACAAACACAGCATTAATTGGAAATGCAAATCGAACAACACAAGTGGCCGGTGAGTGTATAACTAAATCTTTTTTACCAAACCCCTTTCTGTAGCAATTGAATTGCATTATCATAATTGGCCTCTAACAATGGTAATCCTGCAATCACAATAGTGGCTGCATTTTAGAAATCTAATCTCAAATAGCATTTTTGTTTTTTGTCAGATTAGGATTCTTGTGCAACGCTGTGTCAAACTGTGTGATATGAAATGACATGTAATGAAGATCTCCCAGTGAAAAAGCAGTGGCATAAACATAGAGGACACCGAGAGTTCATGGTGATAAGAGCTGACGATGGTGTGGGGGTGCTGTAAACATGATCATTTGATCTCTGCAGCAGAATTAATATGTTTCATCGTGCTTGTGCCTGCTGCACCCTGCTGCACCCAGCTGCTCCCCCTCTCACCTGAATAATACGGAGGATTTGTTGCTGTTGTGAAAGCATCTGTGCAAAGAACCTCCCGCTGCATAATGCATGTGTGAAAGGTCACTGGTCAAGTCCTGACCCAATTCTCCGGACTTTACCCGCAGGTAATTTCAGGAAACGGCTATAATAAGAAAAAAACCATAGCTTTATCTATCAAAACTTTTGTTTTTGTTTGTAGAAGCTAATTCAGGCAGATTTTGGTGAAAGGTAAGCAGCACTAAGTAATCGCACTGCAGTGACTTCTCTTGCAGCTTCAGTCATTCCAAAGTACCAATAATTGTAATGCACATGGAAACACAAAAGATTATCAAGCACACAATAAGTGCAGGAGGGGAGAAACCCAGAACAACAAGAATCAAGTAAGTACAGTTTGCTGTAAAAAAAACAAGACCAAACTACGAAGTGCTAAATGTAAGTACCATTGACTTTTTTTTTTCAAATTTTTATCCAAGGTATTGTCTGAAAAGATGCGTATTTAGTCTTTGGCGGAAGATGCGTAGACTTTCTGCTGTCCTGATGTCAATGGGGAGCTCATTTCACCATTTAGGAGCCAGGACAGCAAACAGTCAAGATTTTGTTGAGTGATTAGCTCGCAATGAGGGAGCAGGAAGCCGATTGGCAGATACATAGCAGAGTGGATGGGCTGGGCTGTAAGATTTGACCATGTCCTGGATGCAGACTGGACCCAATCCGTTCACAGCACAGTATGCAAGTACTAGTGTTATGAAAAGGATGTGGGCAGCCACTGGTAACAAGTGAAGGGGGGTGGAGTAGTGTGAGTAAACTTAGGTAGGTTAAAGACCAGTCCAGCTGCAGAGGTCGGATAGCACCAGCAGTTAGACCAGCCAGGAGGGAATTAGTAGCAATAGTCTAGGCAGATAAAATAGTCTAGACATATATTAGTTACATTTTTTGCATAACAATTTGCACTTGCTTCTTTACAAAGCAACTATAACCATATAATATATGAGCCATCATACACATGGTTTGTCTGTCTCTTACATACCTTCCTCGCTGAGCATGCAGTCACTTAGCGACACATTTGTCAAGGTGATATCTTTTTGGAAGGCCCTGGCCAGCATAGAGCATGTATCCAAAGACAGGCTCTGTCCACTCAGGTCCAGTCTGGAGCTGTGAGCAGCCCTGCTCTCCTGGATCTGAGCCACAACACCCTCCTGGGGCTCCACACCTCCCTCCTTACACAGACCCAGGTATGTCCGCACAAAATCCATCCTCACCTCTTCCTTGTTTCCATTGTGACTTGACCTGTTGTTAATCTAGAACTGAAAGGATCAGATGATTAACCACTCAATAGAAATTGGCTTAAATCAATCATGATGCACAATGCTCACCAACAGAACCTGAACTGATACAGAAAATCAGCACTTGCAGCAGCTGCAGTTGCATGAGTTCAATGAAATAATTGCCACAAATCATACTGTAGCCATTTGAAGATTTACTTTTCTATCTCTGTTTTCCTCATTCGACCCTGTGAAAACTACAAGCAAATAAAAGAAAGTTTCAAATTTACATCTCTCAATAATTTTTTGGGTTATGTCTGTTGATAAACATGCTAGCACAACATATATGTGCCAAAATTAATACACTGCTCAAAAAGGTTGATCCAACTTGCATGAATTTCATCAGGGCAACTCAAAATGTGACTCAGTAGTGTGTATGGCGTCGATGTGCCTATATGCACTCCCGACAATGTCTAGGCATGCACCTGATGAGTCAGCAGATGGTGTCCAGGACAGTCTGTTGCAGTACTTGGCAGCGTTGGATACACGTCCTATAGGTGCTCAATTGGATCACAAGCAGCATAACGTTCACCATAGCACGTTCCCAATCAGTTGTGCTTCCTAAATGGACAGATTGATATCCCTGAAGTTTAACTGACGTGGTGTTACACTGTGATGATTAGTGTTCCCTTAATTTTTTTGAGAAGTGTATAATGTCCAAAAATGTCCATATTGTGGTTCACATAGTCACTCAAACAAGTATTTCACATTCACAATGTGCGTCTCTTAAACCATGTGCAGAATGTGGTTACTCCAGGACTGTATGTGTTCTCTCTGGGTCTATGTTAGCTCTATTCTATAATGCCACCCTTACATACGTAACCTCTGACCTGTGGTCATGTGACTACTTACACTACACATTGAATGAACCTTATTTAAAACAGCATTACATTGTTAAACCAACATTACATTAACGTGGTATACTTCAAACAAATATTTTATCAAAGTTAACACTTTTAACCTCTTATTTATAACATTTTAAATCATTTTAATAATAATATAAACTCAATGGCTTATGAATTTATGAAAAAGTATATAAAATGTAGTCTTGTCTCTCAGACAGTTACATCAGCACTAGGGGTGGGCATTCGATTAAATTTTCTTAATCGATCGTCAGGAGAATCAACGATCAATTTTCGATTAATCATTAACTTTTTTTTATTAATTAAAATACATTTAACTTTTTATATATTAAAAATGCAATGAAAATACAAAATACAGCATTTTTTCCTCGATGAAATCTTTATTACAAGAAGAAAAACTCTTGTGGCAGTTAAATTGACGTTAAATGGTTAAACTTAAAGATGTTCACTGCAGAGGAACCTGCAGCTGCGAGCCGGCACTCTTAAACACAATTGACCCTCGTTTGTTACAAAATAATAATAATAATAAAAAAATCATGTTAAACAATAACTTAACCAAAAACATAATAATACTTAAGTCTGACAGGTTTTGTCAAAATGTAACTCAAAAACTATCCAAAAGGCACCGAGTCTAAAAAGAGGGTGAGAGAGATCAATAAGGCTACTTAACAAAGCCTCATAAAAATAACTAGTGGGCCTAACTCACATACAACTGCAGCACCAGTCTACTGATTTTTGTTGATAAAGATAAGCATGTTAACATGCTCCGGGGTCAGACGCGACCGCAGCCTGGTGACCGTCAGTCCAGCTGCCGAAAACACCCACTGATGTTGCCGGGATGCATAGGTACCTCCGCGCATTATTCGCATTATTCGATAGTTTATTGACACAGAGTAAATCCTGTAGATGATGAAGTCTATGAAGTCAGGAGAAGGAAATCACTTTTGAGGAGTTTCTGTACTGGCTTCACTTTCCCACATCCACATAATTTTTATTTACAGTCTGATTTGATACTGTGGTTTAAAAAATACTCAATTAAAGAAAAAACATACACATCTTTAGAATCATCATGACTTCCAGGCACTGTGTGACAAAGGCTTGTTGTTGGTTAAACATCACTGAGGGAGCACCAGTTATTACAGGGGACGTTTTCTGGTCGAGTCACCCCCAGTTCATAGAGCGCATTGTTTGTGCATTTTATCGATAAAATGATCGACAAAATTCTTAACGATCAATTATCAATTCCTCGATTAATCATGCTCATCCCTAATCAGCACTATAACTAATGAATTCATGAGTTAGGGCTAGGCGATGTTGAAAACAATCATATCACAATGTTTTCCATAACAGTCTATATTGATATATCACAATATAAATCAAATCGGCGCCACTGCACTGAGGCACGTTACGCAAGGGACACACCGGAGGCGGAAGCCACACAAGGCATCAATTAGATCTTCTGCTACTTTGAAATTACACATATAGTATAAGTATGTAAGCGTTCGGTGGTAAATGATGATGGTCTTCACAAGTGACTGACCTATGCAAGCCTATAGTCACCTAATCCCGCCCTCTCTCTTTTTGACTGCCTGTTTGTGCGCGTCTGTCTATTCAGACACAACTGACATGTGTGGAATAAATATATAATAAAGAAAACTAAACAATTAAAGTGGATGGGCAGATAGGGAAATTTCATCATGTGGGGGTAATAATCTGGGAGAACAGCAGGGAAATCAAAAGAATGGGATGCATATTTGATCATACATTATATATAATATATCATGTATATATACGGTCGATTTTCAGTATTTTTTGGCCCGATTTGCAAAAAACATTAATCGGTTGTGTTCAGTCACTGCATTGATGCAGGAGTGACCTCTCTGCAGGAGCCTAAACATTAGGACATATGCAGCTGCTCCTCCTACATTCTGTGCTGCGTGCATCAACCTAACATGGCTGTAACTCTATTCCAGCCACATGACTGGTTCGGCGCGGCGCTATTCTCATTGGTTGATCGTGTTGATTGTCAAAACATAGTTGGGATAAGTTCTATCGATGATTTATTGACCACGTCACATATTTCTATGAAAGAAAAGTTATACTGCGATTAATACCGTTATCGTTTCATTGCCCAGCCTATCATGGGTCTAGTAAGAAACAGATTCCATTACTCTGTGGGGCTGCAACAACTAATAGATTTATTCATTATAAAAACAGTTGGCAACTAATTTAGTAATCGATTAGTCGGGTCTTTTTTTAATCACGGCACACTCACCTGAGGTAGGAGCAGTAAAGAAGCCATCCCCGTACCTTGTATAGCTCACGTGACAACAACGTCTCCTCAGTGTTGCCAATTTAGCGACTTTGTCACTACATTTAGTGACTTTTCACCTTCCCTAGCAACTGAAAATCGTATCCATCGACTAGCGACTTTGTCACTACTTTGGCGATCTCTTGTTTCATTGTTGAGCAACAGCAAAACCACGTTCACCGAGTTGTGAATTACGTGACGTTTGCATTTCTTAGCATTCTAGTGTTCCCAATATTTGATCTGTAATTTGACTGCGATGTTGTCACAGCGGCTCCACCATGTAGAATGAGCCGCTGTGACTACACAAAGTTTATCAACGGACCTAACACGATCTAACGCGCAACCGTGTCGTCACAGTAGCTCCACACTAGTCAAAAGCCCCACACGGGCCTGATAAACGGTTAACATGTAACGTGACGTGGATGTTTGACAGCTTTCCCGAACAGTATTAATATCACTTTTAGACATGGAACAACACAAACCTTGGTCACTACAGCACGATTCATTTCCTGGCTGTTGTATCAGACGACACAGCTAACATGGCTGACAGCCACAAAATACCAAACGGTATAATCAGGAAATGTATTTTGGCGCATAGCATCTTGGTCAATGTAGTTTCAAAAACATATGCGTTGTCGAGCAACCTATCCTTATAAGTGAGGATAACTACAAACCAATATAAAACAGTGTTTAATCAAACTTTTTCCGTCGACGTCACACAGGCCATAGTTGTATACCATGACATGTTATATACTTTGTTTTTTTCTGTTTGTTGGGGTTTCAGACATAGTAAACGCGTTAAACCGGTAGATGGCAGTAAAATGACAGCGCTTCGCTAAACTGCAGTCGGCAACAAAGAAATCAGAAGAAGAACACCATCCACCCGAGTAGATAATATATTGATAAAACGAACTGATCCACACTCCATACCAGCTGGTGGCGATAATTCACCAAATCTTTGTTTGCCAACCTATATAACATCTAAAAGAGGGAGAAGTGTATCCACCGGAGGAGTAAAACAGGCATGGCCAGGAACATGAGCACCAGCTTTGTCCCTATAACTAGTTCCTTGTCTCAATTGCAGTCTCTGAATGGGCTCTTTGCCATTTATAAAAAACAAGGGCCTACGTCTGCAGACTTGTTGAATACGTTCAAAGACGCTCTGCTCAAAGGTAACAGCACAGGAAAACCCCAAGAGGTAAGTCCACTGTCAGTTGGTGAAACTGTGAGTGAAATGTTTGTGTCTCGTGCCTTTCAGAAGCCGGTGTACAAAACCCAAACTCGCGTAAAAGAAAGAAGCAGAGCCTGAAGATGGGGCACGGAGGGACTTTGGACAGTGCTGCCAGTGGAGTGTTAGGTAAGTTGACTGTACCATGTTAACAAAGCTGCCACTGGTACCTTTATTGCCTTGATTGGATTGTAATGATGGGGGGCCTCATTTCAAGGGTCCGTTTTACCCAAACGCTTGTTAAACTTGGTCAATGTTTGGGCTTTAATATATCCATGAGGCTGATAATGGTTGTTTTAATATTATGTTTTTATTTAAAATAATGCACATTAGGTTGAAAAGTGCTGTTTTAAAAAGAAAGAAACAACTGCTATAGAGCTTTCTGAAAACGAATGTTATATTGAAGGAGTCAAAATGTGTTCTTTAATAAACCTAAATCTGCTTCAACTTGCTGAGTCAAATGGCCCAGTCAAGCGGAGATGTATGTGAACTTTATTTGATTTGCAGGTATTTGGTCATACACCAGAAATGATCAAATGAAAAATGTACTTGGTCTAGCTGGATGAAAAGTCAGAGCATAAAGATAGGATAGGATCAGTCCAAGGGTCACCAAAAAGACCACCATTCATTCTAAGAAGAAAAATAATGTCTGAACTTAATTTCACACAAAAAATTAAAACATTAAATTCAATGTATCAATAAAGTTTGTAGGATTTATCTACATGTATGTCACATATCGGCCTCATGGTTAACAGCTTTAGTGGCCAATTGTCCTCAAACTTGATAAGAAAAAGCAAAAGAATTGAACTCACAATAAAAAAGCCACTGAATCTTATTCAGGGAATAAGAAAATAAAACAGGTGTCATTTTTTTCTATTTTAGCAAACACACAAAAGGCAATCTCTTCTGCTGTCTCTTTTGCCCTGGTAAAAAAAAATCCACGAATGCGATATTTCGAATATACTCGATGTATTACACGTGAGATGTATATTCGATTTATGATATAGGACATTTCTTTTGACGCATAGCATCTTGGTCAATGTAGTTTCAAAAACATATGCATTTTCTAGCAACCTATCCTTATAAGTGAGAATAACTACAAACCAATATAAAACTGTGTTTAATCAAACTTTGTCCGTCGACATCACATAGGCCATAGTGTTATACCATGCCATGTTATATACTTTGTTTCTTTTGGCTTGTTGGGGTTCCAGACATGGTAAACGCAATGAACCCGTACATGGTGGTAAAATGACAGCGATCAACATAGGATAGGCTTGTAGGAAACATTTATATTCGACTCGAAACAAGGTCATTCACATTGTGTTTTAAGCCTAAATGTTCCTACGAGGTGCATTCAGGGACCGTTGGAAATGCGAAAATCTGCTAGCTTAGCCACTTCCTGTGGACGTTTATGAATTTAACAGTTGTGCAGTGATTTAGAGGAGATTTCAAAATATTGAGATTCATATTGTATATCACGAAATAGCCTTCAAATATCAAATATCTCTCTTTCCCCCAGTTGTGAGGGGTGAAAGTGTGAACTCACAATTACTTGAATTTCTATGGGGGAGCTATTACTCTCTACCTGGCCCTAACTGTTCTACATAAATTCTTCCATCCTTTTCTCGATAACTGTGGAGCCAAAATGGAAAGAGGGAGGACAGAATAGAGAGAGAAAAGAAAGAATAAATGTCCATGATCCAAAACTGCGGCCTCCAGGAGCAAGCAGATATTTGTTACAGATCTCTCCAAGACAATGGTCTTAGTCTTGAGGCACACAGAGCAGAAAAATCCTTTGGAGTTAGACTTGGTACTTAGAACTCGGCTCAACATCCATCCTCTCAGAGCTGCAGCATTGGCAATGATGACAATATCGTCTGGAGAGAAGCTTTTTCTTGGCTTAGCCAATTTCTCTTACCCTAACCCAACTGAGCAGTAATTTCAGTTTGACGCTGAATGATGTTCAAGTTCTGAAAGTCATTTCTATTGTTCAGTTGTTTGAGTTTCATTAGACATTTGACAATGTCCGTTGATAGCTTTGAAAGGATTGTATTTGCAGGGTTGGAATTTTGTACTTGGCTGTTCCTTCTTCATTGCATTACTGAAATATGAGTTAATTCCATCTGAGCCTGCATTTAAATTTGGCTAACTTGGCATAAGCTGCAGCCAACTCTGTGTCCATCTGCAGTTGTTTTTTTTTTGTCTTTTCAGACAATCTTCTTGAGCTTTCAAAGCATGTTTTTTCTCCACCAGCCATTGTTTAACAATTAACAGTCTCCTCACAATGCTTAGAGAGCTCCTTTAAGGAAGTGTCATCATTGTGATAGTTATCCTTTGTTACTTTCAGAGATTTTAATTTGGCAATCTATTTGATTTTAGAAAGATGCTCAATGATCAGAAGGCATGCCCCGACATTTATATTCGACATGAAACGAGTTAATTTACAGTGTTTAAAGCCTAAATGTCTACTGATGTGTTCCGCCTAGGTGCATTGCAGGACTGTCAGAAATGATAACATCCGCTAGCTTAGCCACTTCCTGTGGACTTTTATGAATTCAAAATATGTACAGTGATTTCGAGGAGGTTTCAAAAATATTGAAATATATATCATGTATCGTGCTGTAGCCTAAAAATATAGCAATATTTGTTTTAGGCCATATCGCCCAGCCCTACTCTGTCGTTCTCCTTAAGGCATAATTTGCATTGAATGAAATTCAGTGTGAACAGTCAACCGACACACAGAGTAGGGTTCTCACTTACTTACAGAACAGTATGAAGTTAAATCCATGATCCAAAGCAGTTTTCACAAGTCAAGGATGCTCTGTCTCTGCTTCACTCTGTGGGGGTGGGATTAATTTTGTGAAATTCACTCCCGAGGTGTCACAGTCAGGTTCAGAGTTTGAAAATATAGAGTTAATACATTTACATTTAGAGATTTGATTTAAAGACACCTCAATTTGACACTCTGTTTTGACACCAACTATTTGCCAACTGACCAAAGTATAATAAACTCTACTTTTGCTCAAATTTGACCAACACTGAAAATACACTCACTGGCCACTTTATTAGGTACACCTTGCTAGTACTGGGTTGGACCCCTTTTGCCTCCAGAACTGCCTTAATTCTTCGTAGCATAGATTCAACAAGGTGTTAGAAACATTCCTAAGAGAGTTTGGTCTATATTGACATGATAGCATTACGCAGTTGCTGCAGATTTTAGGACTGCACATCCATGATGCGAATCTCCCTTTCCACCACATCCCAAAAATGCCCTATTGGATTGAGATCTGGTGACTGTGGAGGCCATTGGAGTACGGTGAACTCATTGTCATGTTCAAAAAACCAGTTTGAGATGATGTAAGCTTTATGACATGGTGCATTATCCTGCTGAAAGTGGCCTTCAAAAGATGAGTACACTGTGGTCATAAAAGGATGGACATGGTCAGCAACAATACTTAGGTAGGTTGTGGTGTTTAAACGATGCTCAATTGGTAGTAAGGGGCCCAAAGTGTACCACACCATTACACCACCACCACCAGCCTGAACCATTGATGCAAGACAGGATGGATCCATGCTTTCATGTTGTTTACACCAAATTCTGACCCTACCATCTGAATGTCACAGCTGAAATCGAGACTCATCAGACCAGGCAATGTTTTTCCAATCTTCTATTGTCCAATTTTGGTGAGCCTGTGCGAATTGTAGCCTCAGTTTCCTGTTCTTATCTGACAAGAGTGGCACCCGGTGTGGTCTTCTGCTGCTGCAGCCCATCTGCTTCAAGGTTCGACGTGTTGTGCTTTCAGAGATGGTATTCTGTATACCTTGGTTGTAACGAGTGGTTATTTTAGTTACCGCTGCCTGTCTATCATCTTGAAACACTGTTCCCATTCTCCTCTGACCTCTGACATGAACAAGGCATTTTTGGCACACAATTGACACTCACTGGATATTTTTTCTTTTTAGGACCATTTTCTGTAAACACTACAGATGGTTGTAGGTGAAAATCCCAGTATTTCAGCAGTTTTTGAAATACTCAGACCAGCCCGTCTTGCACCAACAACCATTCCACGTTCAAAGTCACTTAAATCCTCTTTCTTGGCCAGTGCTCTGTACCTTCAAAACAAAAGCATAAACTACCAAAAAAAACTAAATAACACACAATATCATCATCATTATTTTAGATTATCCTAAAGACCTAATATAACTTAGCTGCTATATGTCTAGACTGCTGGGGAAACTCTCATCATCAACTGAGCACTTGTATCTTGTATTCCCCCCCCCCATTCATTTTAATACATGTTAATAACTTTCTTTTTCTCCCATAGTCCCTCTCTCTCTCCCATATTGCAGGTATCTCTGACTCCAGATTTGCAGGAGAACAACTATTATTATT